TCTTGGTACCCGTGGAGATGTCTGCTCCTCTCCTTTGCGCGTAGGCGGGCACCTCTTGGCCCCCAGGGTCTTGTGACCTGGTTCAGGGGGGAGGTGGGCGGTCAGAGAGCTTCTTCTGCACCTGCCATTCCTCAGATCCCTTCAGCTTAAAATATTCAAAAGACTAGATATACCCAGGTACCATATTTTGGGATAGCATTTCCTGAACCCCATCATAAGTCAAGGTTAAGCACTTTATAGTGGCTATCTCAGATGGGTTGTTGATTATTGACCAGATATTTAGACTATAACTCAGAATCTGGAAGCAGGATGTATTCAGTGTTATTGGCCTGGCTGCAGATGGACACCCTCTTATTATAGCTGTGATCTGTTCAGGTCTCTCAGTCACCTTCAGAAGAGGCTGGCTTTACAATTTCAGTCTCCTTGGTGAATATTCGAACCTCACAGAATTACTTCGTCTGACTTGAGTAAATGGAGGTCTGCAACCCTTCCTCTGGTTGCACCTAAGTTTCTTCAATTAATCTCCTTTACTACCTGCTTGAATTCTGTATTCTGTTTATACTTTCTCTGTTCTGACAGTTCCTGAATGCCTAATTATATTTTGATGACTCCAGTTATATTCTGAGTATTTTATACACCTTTTATTCAAAGTTAAACTGAAAAAATTCACCAAGGAATGTTTACCTGAGCAACTTAATTTTGGGTTGTTAGCACCAGGATAAACTGGCTTCAAGATGTGTACAAATTACTTAATTGTTTTGTAGAGTTGCTAATTGTAAACTATTTAAATGCCAGGAGACAGTAACTCCCCCCACCACACACCCCCAAAATGACATTTCAGGATTATGGAGGCTTAACTTTAAGCCATGCTTTCTCCCAGTTCCTATGAATGAAACAATCAGGGGGACTTCCCTGGTGGTCCAGTGGTTAATGCTCAGTGCTTCCATGGTAGGGGACACAGGTTCAATCCCTGGTCAGGGAACTAACATCCCATATGCTGCACAGCCAAAAAAAGAAAAAGAAAATGAAAGTTTCCAACAGGGATGTAATAGTAATTTATGAATCTAGTTTTTCCAAAAGTGATAGTGAACCATTAGTGTATAAACTGTAAAAGAAAAATAAGCATAGAACACATACCTGTGTTGATCCTCCAAAAGGTATTTTCAGCTCTATTAATCATTTCTACCAATCATGATTTTTCAAGGGGATTATTAAAGATCTAGATAGAGTTTATGCCCCTTGGACCATAATCTGTCCTCAAACTCTAAAAAGTTAAGAAAAGGAAGGAAGAATTTTATGTTATTCTTAACAGATTTCTCCACAAAGTGAAACAGTCTGTAAGAGTGATCAATAATAGAATAACCATTACTAAACCCTCTCTGCTCCTTTTGTAGACCCAAGAGTTGAGTTTATCCGAAAGGAGATTGGCATTTGTTTCAGAAAAGTTGGTAAGCTGATAGGTCTATAATTTTAAAGTAGTGGAGGATTTTATTTCTTAAATGAACATTCTATACTCCAGTTCCAAGCAAATGGAAGCAAACCACTGTTCTGTTTTTGAAGGACACTAGGAACCACACAGAGGTTCCATCAGCTCAGGGAGCTTTGGAGTCAAGGATCCGAAGAGAAATGAGGGGGACAGGATACAGCCTCAGCAGAGGCACAGCCAGACCTCCTGGAGAACTGGGACACAGCTTTCAAAGTACCCCAGGGCTGGTGGTTTGCAGCTGTGAGGACAGCTGCTGTCTCCTTAGAAGTGGGCTTTCATTGCTTTCTTTGTATCATCAATTTCTTGGTGTAGAAAGCTAGAGCAGAAAGCCTCTGCATGTCACCCAGGGCTGAACTTCCGTGACTCCATCATTCTCACATCATGGCCTTCAGACCCGTCTTCAGTGCTGTATGTACAAGTCCACATGGAATTATTTGTCTTGAGTATTTTCCTGGCAGTGAGGATTTTATGAAAGGGTTTAGTGAGATGTGGTCTTCAAATTTTGTTTGAAACGTTACCTGGCCAGGATTTGAGCTACCAAAAGTCCTTTTCATGGGTCTTAGAATGACAACAGTCAGGCAATAATATCCCTACTTGCTATTTATTAAAAGTTGTAGTGGTGGTTGTTTTAAAAGCGTTGTTACAAAAGCAGTTCACTTGGGCATAGTACAGCATACTCATGCTGTCGTTAATAGTGGCCTGTTTATAAATTTGAAAACAGTATCCATATATTTAAGTACTAACGTACCTTATTTGAATTACGGATGGAACTCTTTAAAAAATTCCCATGTTACTTTGATTAACTGATTCAGAAATTTATAACCAAAGAGAAAAATAAACATCAGGTCCAGGTTATCTCATATATCCCCAGTTATAAGAGTATGACACTACAGAGAAAATATTTTTATGTTTTAAAGCATATAAAAGACATATAAAATATAAAAAATATTTTAAAGCATAAAAAATTATTTTTGTGTTTTAAAGCACAGTTAGAGCTTTGTGAGCATTTTTACTGGAATGTGGGACTGAGCTAAAAGATAAGCCTGAGAAGTTAAATTATGACTAACTAGTTAGATTTATCTGCAGAGAGATTTGCCTCCCTAGAGGTATGTGATCGTGTTTTCCAGGAGTGGGGCCGGGGAGAGGGACTTTGAGACCCAACTCTATGGAGGTGTTCTAGGAGCTGTAAAGCTGGAGACTTGAGTCTTACCTTCCTCTGACATAGATCACTTTCCAAAGCACAAGAACCCAAGATCCTTCTCAAGATGAACTTGTTTACATTAAGGAGATAAGATCTCTCTCCCTCTCTTAGAGAAGAGAAGGGAGACAGCTGTCCTTCTGCTATGTAACCTTAAAGATTCATATTTTTAAAAATTCCTCACATATAATGCGACCACATATAGGATGACAACTCGTTCTCATTGTGTCACCCTGGAAAGAGGAAATCAGGGCATGGGGAACCAGTGCAGTGACTTCCTATAAGTAAGTAATAACCTAGTTGCATGACAGACACATCAAGTTTGGACTCAGGATACTATTCATAAATACACATATTAAAAATATTTAGTGAGTTCAGATATGTATTTGAAGTGTCGATTCCAGGTCAACTCCCTCTCCCCCAAATTCTAATTGGTAAGTCCAGGTACCCAAAAATTTGTGTTTATACAACTGCCCCAGATGATGCTTACTTATCAGACTTACTTGGGGACCACTGCACCGGTCCATGATCCAGGAATAAAAAGTGGGCTTCCCTGGTGGCGCAGACGGTAAAGCGTCTGCCCACAATGTGGGAGACCTGGGTTCAGTCCCTAGGTCGGGAAGATCTCCTGGAGAAGGAAATGGCAACCCACTCCAGTATTCTTGCCTGTAAAATTCCATGGACGGAAGAGCCTGGTGGGCTACAGTCCATGGGGTCGCAAAGAGTCGGACACCACTGAGCAACTTCACTCACTCACAGAGCAGTCTGCCTCTGCTAGTTTGCTTTCCTAAGTTCACTATGGTAACCCCACCCCACCCCCCACTTCTTAATAGTAAGTGGATTTAAGAATATAATTTTTTTACGTTAAACATTAGGATAAAATTGAAGGTTGGCATATTTCTGGTTGGTCGTTCTCTGTTATCCTTGCAGACCCCTTTGATTTTCAAAAAATAAATACAAAATTAAAATAATATCTTCTGTAATCTCTAGTGTGATGAACACTTTCTCATCCAACCTGTGATTTCAGTGTGCTGCTAAAACTTTACTGACTTCTGCATTCTCTTTAGTTATCGTTCTCATAACCCCTTTACATTTGTATATTGCTTTAGTTTTATGAGATGCTTTTATAATAATTGTCCCATTTGATTCTCACAATATACTTTAGAAATGAACAGAAATTGTTAGGAGTTGTATCGTCTATGTAAATTTGAAATGTGTAATATTTGAAAATAATGTGAAATGAAATGTGAGGTTGAGATTCAGTATACCGCTGGGACATAAGTTGCCCATAAGCCATGCTGTTGAGGCACTTTTAATTGAAAGGGAATCTCTTTGTTGTCATGACATTAACAGCTAACAAATAATAAGTATTATATCAGTTATCACTTGAACTAACTGAGGGTGCCTTCTTCCAAAATGCACAGAAACTGCTGCCCATTCCTGCCTTAGCCCTTGATGATTTTTTTAATCAAAAGATAAATATAAATATGCAAGTGCTTGCATTAAGAAAACAAAGTCTGTTTTCAGACTGTTTTTCAAATGCCTTTGAGTCCTTAAAATGTTAAACAATAAGCATAGACCTTTCTACTTTTACAGTTTTCAAAGCACTTTCACACATATCTAATTTAATTCTTAACCACATATAAGATATACATAGAATATCCACATTTTATGGATGAGGAAATAGAGGCAAAGAAGGCCCAAGGTTATGTGCACAGGAAGTGAAAGACCCTGGACATCCAAGGAGGGTTTTAGGACCTCTAGTCTGGCGCTCCTCCTATGATAAGGCACTAAGATGATGATGAAAAACCAATAAGCTGTGTATTCTGCTTAAAGTATCATGAGCCCAGAAATTTCCAGTTATTAAATGTATCATTTTCTAAAGTCTCAGGCTCTTGGGAACTTGTGTTCCGAGGAGGCCAGGGTAAAATGCTGCTTATGAGCTCATGTCACTAGTAGTGAGGCACTCATATGTGACCCAAATAAAGGGAACGCTGTGATCATTAACTCAAAGCAGTTCCTAAAAGACCATGTCCCTCTCTGATACTAATTTATCCACATACATTTAATCCCAATTCAAAAAGGTCATCATGGCCATGGTGATACCAAAATACTTCTCATTGTTATAACATCCGTTTAGATGCAAAAAAAGATTAATGTTCTAGTCAAAAGTGCAAAATTTGTACTCTGTTGTGTAGGACAATTTCTCAGACTATTACTTCAGACCGTATTCAGAGTCTCTTAAAAATTCAGCTCTGTAAGTTTTCCATCTGCCCTTTTCCTTTGTCTGACACACCTCTTCTTTTCCTAACCCAGGATCTTCAGATGCAGGCTGGAAACCTGGAAACCAACGCCATCCTCCACTGCTCAGGCCTCCACACGCTCAACTGGCCTGCCTTTCTCGTGGTTTAATGAAAGCCGAAAAGGATCCTATTCCTTCAGGAATCTGCCTTCATCTGCAAGTCCCCTTCAGCCTTCTCCTGAAGCTCTAATTTCAGATAAAAAGGGGTCTAAGGTAGAAAACACGTGGATTTTAAAAAGCAAACAAGAAAACCCAATCCTTCCTCCTCTTCAGTCTTTGGAAAGCATTCTCAACTTGTGTGTATACTCTGGATTTGAGAAACCAATGTGATAACACTGCAATAAACAATGCATGGTATTTTCGTGTTGGGGAGAAAGAAAGCCTTATTTAACCACCACCTTCTTTAATACTACTCCATTCTAGATTGTATGTTAATCTTTGATTTCCCTGTCTTTTCACATATTGCTATTTAATCTCAGTTTGACAGTTAAGCCATGCTGGGAAAGATGCATTTGAATCCTGGAACAGTATGATAAATCTGTTTACCAAATATTCCACTTTAAATTACATTACAAAACTATTTTTGCTGTGCTCTTCAAGATTTACTGGAAAACAAATAAATTTGAGACTGAATATGTATTCAATATATCTAAATGAAACCCTTCCAAACAAATCAATGCTGACATAGCACCCTTACTTATTTCTTCTTTTAAATCAGACTTCCGTGTTGATAAACTGTGATCATTCTATCACCAGAGTTTTTTAACTTTAGCAGAATGGGGAATTAAATGGTTATTTGCTTTTAAATGCATGACGGTTATTTCCAGCATGACCCTGCAAACCTTACCTAACAATTTATTGAAACACATGTGGTTGCTAACTTTCATGTGTTGTTTGGTCTCCTTTTATCTGTGTTCACTTTTCTTTCTCAAATAGTAACCTGTGGTTAATGTTACTTGAATTTAATTCTTTTCTTGAGGTCAACAGCTCATAACATTTTGACAGAGTTTGAGGTCGTTATCTCCATTGACAGTATCAAATGGTAACGTGCTGTGTTAAATGCTCTCACGCTTAAATGTTTTACTAGCGTAGCTCCTGTGCTGATTTCACCTCCTTTTCTGAAGTTTTAGCAAACCTTTGGAGTTTGGTACTGAATTCTCTAGCCTCTGCCATGGTTTTTATTCTTGACAACCAACTAAACCCAATGCAAGGGAACCTAATGGGAAACTGTAACAGTCCAGTTGCTAAGGAAGTGGAATAAGAAACAAGATGGTGTTTGGTCAGGTGCTTAGAATTCCAGGAAAGGCAATGCTTCTAGAATTATTAGCAGAAGAAGTTTTGGCAACAGCAGACCACATTGGTCTTGAAACATTTTCAAGATCTGAGAAGTCTGAATGTTGTTTGAATAATTCCAGTTTTTATCTCGCATTGGAGAGACTCTTGAGATTTGGTTTAAAATGTTTTACAAATGCAACTGTGTAGTCACTGTGAGTTTATTTGACTGTAACATCCACTGAACATTTTCAGTAAGTTCTGGGGAAGTTTTACTGACACCACCGGACCTCCTCCAACCCCAGGTGATTGTTTGGAAACGTGTGTCTGGCCATGCTCCAGCCTCTTTGGTACTCCACTGGTGCTGTGCGAGAGTTGTATTTTAGCATGTAACTACTAGTGTAATGTCAGATTGTGACCTCCCCCAGAACTCATCATCTTGAAGGTTACATCCAGGAGAGGATCTGCCATTTCTCACGGTGTTTATCACAGCCAACGGCAAGCAGTCCTTCCCAGGGGGTGCTCAAGTTACCTTTCTAATATGGATTGCCATCTGTTCCTAATAACTCAGGCTTGCCACACCATCTTGTATTTTTACTTACACTGTTACTCATCACAATTAGGGCCAAAGCAGATAGGCTTATTAACAGTACTCCTCTGAGCAGTTGTGGAGGATAATGAATGCTGTACCCTTGAAGAGAGATTGAAGAATCATTTCTCTAAAATACCTGTCCTTTCATGTGATAAAGAGCCCAGAATTCTGTGTCCAGCACAGAAGGCTAGAGTTCCCAACCACTGGCGGGTGAAGGTCACCCAACCAAATATGCATCTCTTCTGAGATGACTTATAAAGAACCTCTCTAAAGCTTGTAAACAGACTTGTCTCTGGTTCACTCACCAGGCTCACTTAACGCGAAGCTTTGTTTATTTTTTCAGAATTTTCCCTTCAATGATGATTTCAGTCCTAGCAGCACTAGTTCAGCAGACCTGAGCGGCCTGGGAGCAGAACCCAAAACGCCTGGCCTCTCTCCGTCCTTGCTGCTCTCATCCGACGAGGTATGTGCATGGCATAGGCAACGGAGCTGCCTTCTCAGATCCTACACCTTGCCCACAAACTGTCACAGAGGAGAACGTTTTCAGGCAGACTTTGCAGATCTGTCATCAGGACAATGGTTTCACATTTGATTTGAAAGCCTTGCGATTTCGCCCTCTGTCTGCCTCAACGTGGAAGCCAGGTTCTGTCACTGAGCCCCTGTAAGCTGTCCAGGGGACTCCTGGGCCTCTCTGGGATGTAAATGGGATGGCTTTCCACGGACGGGTGGGACTGGGTGGCTGAGCACTGCACAGCTCACCTCCACCGCCCCCGGTGCTCCCTCTGAGTCAGGCGTGGCCCCTGATGGGGATCGCTGCAGGGGAGGGGGGTGCCGTTCTGATCAGGAGGGACCACGCGGGAAGAACCGCTTACTTAGAAGGCAGGGTCAGGTGGGCACTGTGATGAATCCTCAGGAGATCACTGCACAGGGAGGCAGAAGGCTCCACTGGTAACTTATGTGACTTAGTGCGCCGAGAGATAAGGAGAAGAAAGAAATCCCGGTACTGGAAGCGGGTTGGGGTCGGGGAGAGAAGCTCTATAAGTAAAGATATATTCACCTGAAATATCTGTTCCTAGTTACTTCTTTCTAACATGGTTTTTGCTTTGTAAACCTTTTGTTCCTCTTAAGTTTTTCTGTCCATATTCTTCAGATCTGGCATGATTTTAATTGTATGGAAAGTGTGTACTGTATCTGCATGTTTCCTATTTCTGTAACACTTTTCTTTTTGATTCCTTTGTTGCTGTCTCACTCAGAGCCTGGATATGATAGATGACGAGGTGAGCTCTCAGTGGGCTGTGTGTGGTGGCTTACGGGGTAGCGTCTGAAGCTTCTTTTCTTTCTTTATAATGATTTAAAATCAAACTAGACAGGAAATGTTCCCCTGCAGTGGGTTTCCTCGTGTTAAATAGTTTCACTCTCTGCCCTTGTCTCAGTCTTAGTGGAAAAGACATTCGAAGGGATCTCCACCTCCAGAGCCCCTTGCTGTGTCTCCCACCACCATTAGCCCGACACAGACCATTGTGTTTCACCCCCTTGCCCTCATCTCAGCTTCCCCATTTCCTCCTGTTTTCCTGCATGGTCACTAAGGTGCCCCCATCTCTCCTCCTGGATTTATCACCACCTTCATCTCCTCTCAGCCTAGTGGGTCTTAAAACCAAGCTGCCTTTGCACGATTCATAGTCATGTCCTGTGTTGGACAGAGCCAGAGATTTGGAGTAAACTACTAAGTGCTGAGCTCTGGCACTTGCTAGCTGCATAATCTTGGACAGGTCTGTAGACTTTCTGAGCTTCACTTGCCTCATATACTAAAAGTAATTTGATAATTTGTAAATTACCTATCCCACCTTCCTTACAGGTTTGCTTGCTGCTCAAATGAAATAATGGCTGTGAAATTTCCCCTACTAAGAATGCTTGAGGGCTTACTGCTCCCCTTCTAAGTAAAATATATATCTCAATATTTTAAAATGTGTCTTTACATATTTCTAATGTCTTAGCAGAGGACCAGTGCAGCGCAGTTCATTACATACAGAGATAAGTGATGTACTTGTTTTCTGCATCTCATAAACTTTCTGAAGTGTTTTAAGTGAAAACTTGTGATATTACAATGTATTTTTCAGTTATTAACTTCCTACATTACAATGCTGCTTTGTTTGTGGGAATTTTTACATTTCCAAATACCTAAGGAAAATGTAGAGGTGATCACTGTTTATGCGTGTTACACATACAGCCAGACCCACTCGTTTACTCCAGGGCTTAAAACCAAGTGTGGCTCTAGTAGGCAAGAACTGGCTTTTCGATAGCATCACATTCCTACTGAGCCACAGCTTCTTGATCCTTTAACAACCCTGCATAACATTCCTACCTCAGATCCTTGATGACGGACAGTCTCCCAAACACAGTCAGTATCCGAATCGGGCCGTTCATGAGTGGAGCGTGCAGCAGGTTTCTCACTGGCTAATGAGCCTAAATCTGGAGCAGTATGTCTCTGAATTCAGTGCCCAAAACATCACTGGAGAGCAACTCCTGCAGTTGGATGGAAATAAACTTAAGGTAAAGAACTGTATGTTACCAAGTATAATTTGTATTACTAGTAGCACCTGAAATGTTTCCATTAGATAAGAGCCTTCTGCATAGCTGAGAGGTACTTCTCATCCACGGTCAGCAGAGAGGACACTGAATCATTTCCCAGTGGTAAAGGAGGTTTTGGAAAATTGCTGGGTTCTGAATTAAACAATAGGCTGCTGAGCAGGAGCGCTAGAGGTTCATCCATTGCTTCTGCCAAACAGCACATGGTCCATGTCTTGACTCTGCTTATTTCCTCTGTAGTGTGAGTTTTAATAATGGCCAGTGTGGACTCTCCCATGACATGAAAGTTAAAATCCAGGTCCATGAATCTCCCCTTTGAACTCCTTTCTCCTCCACCCTCTCTGCTCCCTGCGCACCACTCCGAAACCAGGACTGTGTTCCCCGCAGAACTTCGTCCTCCCGCTGCAGCAGGCCATGTCCTCCCCTCCCTGCCATCACACTCTCATTGTCGCCTGTCCCGCCCATCTCCTTTAGAGTCTGAGGTGGCACCTACCCTGTGGAGGAGGCAGAAGGAGCTCACAGCCAGCCCACCACCCCCACGCAGGCGCCCTGCTGGGCTGATGGCCGCAGAGTATCTCTTGACGGTCTTGAAAAGGTCAGAGCCCCATCAATAGCCTGTGAATATGAAGGCCCATCGACAGGCCTGTCCCTGCTGGGGAGATGGATGCCTCCTGCTGTTGATTCTGAAGGTCGTGAAACATTGAAAATATGCAACCAGCTCCCCTTATGCTGAATTCCAAGCTTATCAAGCAAGCTCCTCATTATGATCAGGCTTCCTTTATGGGTCTGTCTTCAGGGAGGGAACGGCTAGTCATGCTGACATGAACACTGTTGTCCTGGAGACATTTTTGGTCTCCATTGTAAGTGAATACAGTGGTAGAAAGGAAGCCGTTTCAGTTCCTCCTGCCCTTCTTGGAGCCCTCCAAGATGGGTGGCAGGTGCCTACTACTAGCTTTTGAAAATATTGATGAGTGTAGCAGTACTTTTGGCTGTAAATGGCTATAGCCCAAAAGTTGGAGAAGCAGAACTGTGCCCTTCCGCTATTCATTTGCCCACTAATCACCAGTTCAGAAAGCATTTACTTGCTGAGGTTTACATTGTACTGTGCTCGGGACTCCAAAGAGCAAAAGAACAAGTAAAGCCCAGCCCCACCGTACGTAGATCTTTGGCAAATGTAGTCCGCTCCTCCTCATTTTCTGCCTCTTCGATTATGTGTGTATCAGTTCTTGAGTTTGGGCTCTCTTGTGGTATCAGCCTCATCATAAACAGAAGGGTCATCAGTCTTCAGATTGTTTGCGTGTGTTTCCTTCTCAGGCCCTCGGAATGACATCATCCCAGGACCGAGCCGTGGTCAAAAAAAAACTGAAGGAAATGAAGGTGTCTCTAGAGAAGGCTCGGAAGGCCCAGGAGAAAATGGAAAAACAGAGAGAGAAGCTGAGGAGGAAGGAACAAGAGCAGATGCAGAGGAAGTCTAAGAAGACGGAGAGGCTGGCCGCGGCCGCAGAGGGTGCTAGTGAGCAGTGACACGCACCGAGGCGCTTCCGCCTCTCCTGCCCTGCTCTCCTCTGGAGGACAGAAAGACACTGATGACACGCGTTACGTGCTCTAGGCAGACTGGGGAACCGTGTGTTCAATAACTGCAATCTTCTGCGTCCATAGAGTACACTCTTAATCTTAACCTACTGAAGCAATCCCAAGCCACCTCTGGTCTAGTAACAGACTAAGGGTCTCATTGCGAGAGACACAAAGTAGCAGCCTTTCTCTGTGTCGGGTGGGTGGTGTCCCCTGAAGAACCAGCGTGACCCTGTCCAGAGAAAGCATGACACACCCTGGCGTCGTCAGGGGCGCGCCATGCCTTTCCAGCGCGGGGTCCTGAAGCTGAGCCCTGGCGCATGTCTGCATGGCCGGGAGCACCGCTCTGCCTTGAGATCAGGGCTGCAGAATCGCTCAGAGAGCAGGGTCCCCCATCGTTGCTGCTGTCTGGACTGTGAGACAGCCCCACCGTGGAAATGTGGGTGCTCTGTCGTGTAATTACTGACTGTGGCTAAAAGCAGGCAAATTGTTCTGTTTGCTAGGCATCAAGAAGAGAGAAAAGAGTTACGCTTGCTTGCTAACCCCAGAAGGAAGCAAAAGCCTTAAGAATGTGGATGTGGATATTACTTTGGGGTTCCGAGGGTAACATTTATCCTCCAGATTTAGCCAAACGAAGGAAAATTCAAGCACTGATGCAGCCATGGGTACTGGGACCTGTTGTTTCCTTGGTGCAGCAGCAGCCTGTTCAGTGTTTCAGGAGCACCGACACACAGCACGGTTCCTTCTTTTCTCCAACAAATCGAACAGGAAATTGATTTTAAAGGAAACCAACATTTTCAGGTTTCCTCTCCTGGGGAACATTCGGGCTAGTCTTCAGCCTGACTATGACACAATCAGGAACTCATCACATATTTTCTATTCAAGATTTCCCAAGTGGGCTCAGTTAGAGTTTTAACAAATGTACTTTTAAGAAAAATAGAAATACCAGTTAGAGAAAAGTTAGATTTGACTAACATTCAACCAGAGAAGCAATTTTATTGAGCACACAGAATGTTCCCATAAAGGAGAGCTCTCAGTTATATTTTAGAGATGTTTTGAATGGTTTTTCTGAGCCGGTCTCTTTCATTCCTTGGAGATTTCCACTTTACAGTTAAAGTTTGTTTAAGATGGTACATCCGATGCAGTCTAGCAGTGCAGGCAGTTGTCCTTATTTTAAAGCCAGTATTAAGGATTTCAGTGTTTCATCGAATTAATCCAAGTGCAGGAGAGTGGGGCAGACGGAGGAGAAAATAAACTCACCTTGAGAAATTTCAAATGATGGACTTTGCTGTTGTCGTTGCTCTTTTGCTTTTTATGCTCACGTATCTAGTTCTCTTAGCTGCGTTGGCTGCAAAAATGAGGTCATCCGCTTTTCAGAGGACGAGTTACCAAACAAGAATTGAGGCCAGATGAATTCCTGGACAAGTAGTTTACTTCCTTTTCTTAGGTTTCATGGGGGTCTCAGTCCTTATCTTCCACTGGAAAATGTTCTATACACAGAGCTTAGGGGAAAGCTTTCAAAGGTTACAAGTAACAAATAACGTTAAAGGGGCTTCTTACCATACAGGCCATCTCCTATTTTGAACATTGTGCTTTTTTCCTTTTTTCTTGCTTGTCTGAATATTCAAAATCTAAAATTGTCTAAACTAGAAGTTTGTAATCTTGTTCTTCCCTAAGACTCATTTCCTTTTCAGTACCAGAGTATTGTCTGTTAAGCTTCAGTCCCTTTGTCACTAGGTATAGCTCATCCATTCGATCCTCAGAAGCATAAAGTAACATTGTGTTTTATAATTATCAAAGTCACTACCTATTTTTCTTCTATCTTCATTTGGGGTATGATAATGAAACTGCCGTACTGGAATCTCTATTAATATTTTGAGGTGTGTGGTGCTTTGTTATTTATTAATGTCATGAGAAACCAGGAACCACTATCAATTAACTACAAAATTCAGCAAATCTTTTCAATACTAAAAGACTAAATTAGTCAAAATCTGGTAATGCTAGTGCTTGCTGTTGTAAATGTTTGTGATTTTTGCTTATCTTTGGGGAAGAAAGTGATCTGGATCATACTGGAAGCTTCACTGTGTTCATTTTAGGAGTGGAAATAGAAGGATGATTATCTTATGTTTACACTTTGGTAATATTTGAAAATGGATGTATATACTGGAAATGTCTGTAAGTCTCAGTCTCTGCACATAATTTATGATTATATTGCATTTTTAAGTATCTTAGAAGGATTGTTCTTTAACTTTATTTGTACACTTCCAATATTTAGATCAATGACCAGTTGACAATATTATAAATTGAATTCTTATTCTTCAAATCATTTATTTTGTATTATAATTGTTTTGATTTTTTTAAGTTAAATTATAGTAATTTTAGATCTTAATGAGTTATTTTAAGTAGTTAAAACTGCTAAAATTGATTTGATTGTCCAACAAAGGATAAAAAGTAAACAGATTGATAAAAGGATTTGAAAACAAAGTGAAGGACCTCATATCTTGTGAACATTTGTTTTACTATTATTTTCTTTATTGACTCTGGAGCATGATGCCTCATTGAGGTTCCAGTGTCTTATACAATACTTACTTTAACGCTAGTGGTTTTCAGTATCCTTAAAATTTAACACAGAATTGTCGCTTCATGAACATTAAAGACTTTGTATTAAATAGCTTTTTTATTTGCCAGAAAATGAACAAAAAGGGAATATCTGCTTACTTTGAACTGTATTCCCTATACGACAGCTCGGTATGATGCCCGCAGTAGCCAAAAGTGTTTTTGGGGTACAGGTAATGCTTTAGGGGACAGGGAATTGTGGAGAGGCCAGATGGCAGACAGAGCGTTGTGTGAGCTGAGTGTCTGGGGCAGGGTGTTCCACTACAGGACTTAGATGACTTTATTTCAGAGTATCTCTCTTAAAGTAACTCACAGGTTATAAATAGTTTTCTCCCGTTGTTTTTTCCCTGAATCAGTTTACTGCAGTGATAAGTAGGGTGGAAACTTACTTTTGCCCGTTGGAATGCACTGATGACGTCCACCATTGGTTTCATGACCACACAGCTACTCTGTGCTGGGGTCCTTTCATGGGGCTGACGTGGGCTTCCCGCCCTCACAGCGGGTCAGCGCTTCTGACCCGCCACAGCCCGTGACTGCAGTGAGACAGGCCCTGATTCCCAGCTCCGCCTTCAGGGGGCGCGAAATGGGAACACTGGCTGCGCGGCTTTGTTGTTGGAAAGCAAGGGAGAAGAGGCCAGGACAGGAGCCGAATGAGCCCTTGCTTTTATCCTGTAGTCGCTGCTTCCTGCAGCCTTGAGATAGCCCAGGCCCAGTCTACTGCTAGGCCCGAGCCAGGGTTCGATCTAGCACCTTAACTCGCCTTTATGGCTTTTTGCTGAAGACAAAATTTCTCTGTGAAATAGGACTAAGACATGCTTTAGAACTATATTTTAAAAAGGTAAATGAAAATTAACATTTATGTTGCTATTCTAACTCATTTTTAAGTGTTAAAGATTATACAGGCTAAGGTGCAAGAGAGCAGAATCCATGTTTGACCACAGTATTCAGAAAGTTTCAAACTGAAAGGCATGTCTATGCTCCGGATGGGATGTAGCTCCTTGATTACATCGAGATATTTCCAAATTATCAACTTCCATTTGAGTAACTAAATTTACTGTTCCAATAGAGCTGTGGTTCCGAGGCGTTTCAGTTTGGACCGCAGTCACAAGGGTTCATGTCATTTGCTTGATCCCAAGTCCTTAGTGCTTTCTAAATGAAAAAGAAAAGCTCAGTTTTTAAAATACCTTTTTCCAGTTTACCTTTAATCAAGGATCTACCTGTACACTGTTCTGAAACTAAGCATTTAAGGATGAAGTCCAGAAATGTCCATATTTCCTTCTAGAATTGTTTTCATTATGAAGATGGGGGTGGGAAATAAATTCTTAGAAAGACTCCTTGTCATAAGAAATATGAATGTGCTTCAGCAATTTCACTCCTGAAGAACAGTCTGTGTATGCAGGCAGATCTTGTTTATATTTGTCTTAGGCATTTGCAGTCTCAGAAAAGTTGGTCCTGATCCAAAACACTGAGGAAAAAAAAAATAACACCAGTAGTATTTAAAGTAATAGCATAGAATAGACCCAATGGAGAAGTCAGAAAGCAAAGGAAAAGCCTACAGAAGTATTTTCTCCTGGAACATGGAAACATCAGGGTCTACCTGACACTAAAGAGAGGATCCTTATGTCCTTGTGTGTGCACATCTGTGTGGCTGTGTTAAGGGAATCGTGTTTACTCAAAGGCTCACACGTGTGAGTGTGTGAACCAGCATGGCATGTGACCATGACCCACAGAGTGGGGAATGAAAGAAACATCATGATTCCAGTCCTTGGCCCCACACTAACCCCAGCCCCCAGACCGCTAGGGACTCAAGAATGAATGCGGTAAAGAATAAGAGAACAAGAGGCAACTTCTCAAGAATGTGCATGCCATTTGTGTTGATGTACAGAGCTACATATGTGTGAATATATCTCCCACCATACATAAACACACAGACTACAATCTCACGGCATAAAAAATAATTGTACATGGAACTTGGTAATGTCAGATAGGACCCCAAGCAGTATCGTAGCCTTATTGCCACTTTTGTGTGTGTGTGTGTGTACATTGAATGGCACATGAGATTTTAAGAGATTTTTTTTTAATGTATTTCTACTAAATGCACTTACCTTCTACATGTTTATATATTTTGGTAAAATTGGTTTATTAGATACTCGGTATTTTAGTAACATGAAATTTCCTCACATGTTTGGCTAATGCTTTGATGTCAAGATTGCACATTGCTGAGTTGAAGCTCAGACGTTTATGCAGCTTTGGGCATTTTCAACTGCAGACTGCAGTTTCTTTGGCTAAAAATTGCACTGTGTGTTCCTGTGCATTTGCTCACGCTCTAAAATGTATTTGGTCACTGTGACACTGCAGTCACTAACTGCCGTCTCTCTTGACGGCAGCGTTACTATCACAGGACCATTTATTTACTTCTTTTTTGGAGTGGTGACATGGTTAGGTCATCACCAAACATAACACAAGTGGATGTGAGCATGAGTATGTTGTTGGAAGGTGTACAGTTCTGTTTCCTTCAGCTATCTGATTCACACACCCAGATTTCCTGTTAAAAGAACAATTGGCCAAAATAATTAATTCACCTTAACAAGTGGAAATTAAGAGGCACTCCAGCTAGATAGCATCTCCCAGCAACATCAGATTTAGTTAGTGCTTAGAGAAAACCCTGAAATATATGTTTATGTTTTCCTTAATATTATTTATGATCATCACTACTGCTTTTGTATTTTTTAATGGTGTCACAGTTAAACCACTCGTTCACCTACATATCACTAATTGGCCAGCTGAAAACACAAGAGAGAAAATGAATTCTATTCCGTTGTTGAGAAGTTGATTTATTTTCATCTTTCTTTCTGTATCACTAAAAGGAAAAGAGTTGTTTGAAAATAATTTTAAGTTCAATAAGTATGGATAGCATGTTATCTGAAAATTTTAATTTGTACATTTTGATGTCTGATCATCTGCATGGAAGAGACACTAGTGCCACATCTGGATTGTTCTCTTATGCTTGGTTAATATGTACTTCTCTAGATTGTTCTGTTTCAAACGCCATTTCTTACTCTTCGGTTTTCAGAGGCATTCAAAGCAAAATATCACAGTGGTCCTTTGTTTTCTGACCAATCTAAAAATACCTGTGATTAAATTTCATTTGTTAGTGTAAATAAATTTCTTGCCAATGAGTATTATTGTTGTTAGACAACGAATGCAATAAAAAGAGAAATACTAAGATCCGTCGAAGTAATGTTTTTTTTTTTCCTCTTCTATTTTCACCTTCAACTAAAACAAGCCTTGACTGGGTAAACCAGTATTAACTGTCAAAATGCATCTATCAATCAAGAGCAAAGTGCACATTTTCCATGGAAATGACACTAAAAATAAATTTTGGCCCTGGTAAAGTGTAAATTGGCATGTAGAATGGCATTTGAAAGCACAATTATGGAACTGGGAATAAAGTTAAAAGATCAAAGCTTCCACTAGAAGTTCCCTCGACCATCTTTCTATCCACGTCGTCACCATCATGGCTTCGGTCACCTACCAGCCAGGAGCAGGCCTGTGGCCAGCCACAGACTGGCCGCTGGCCTCACACGGCATAGGGTGAGCTTCAAGTCAGGCCATCCCAGAGCAAGGCCTTCCTTTCAACAGTTTGATTCCTAATGCCTTAAATGTTCAGAAGGCTGAATATAACAAAAGAAGGATATTAATTTCTCTCACACACTCTCAGGCCACAATTTTTTTGTGCCTAAACCTTTGGCAGTGCACAAATTTCGATCTGAGCATCATGGAATAAATGCACCAAGCTGTTCTCTTCCTTGGAGTTGTCATGAAATTTCTAACCAAGGAGAAGCATGTTTCCCTTTCTGAATGATCTGGAGCGTAAGCTATGTCAAGTTGGATAACTTTCTTTTGGGGGCAGAATTTGCTTATTCTGCCAAGAACAAGAGATAACAGAGTATAGTCATTTTATTGACATCAAGTGATTCTTTTCAAAGGAAATACCCACCAAAGCACCACAGCCATTGATAATCTCAAAACAGTGTTTTCGAGGATCGAGTTCAAGGGCCGTGAATGGCACCACTGAATCACTGAGCACTCATCCGGCACAGGATATTATGCTAGCTGAAATCGTGATTAAGATAACTCTAATCCTGAAGTGAGTAAAGTGTTCTTTTGATCTAAACAAGATGTTCCTATTTGTTAACTTTAAGTCAGGGGTCTTGAATTATCAGCAATTGGCAGTTCTCAATTTCTCTGCAGAGCATTTTCCCCAAAATGCCAGACCATCATCATGGAATGTGCCTCAATAAAACTTTGTTTTTAATGAGACTGCCTTGTCATCCCAAAGAAATAAAACAGACTGGGAACTATACCTTCAAAACAGACAAATAAATGAAGATGGGTAACCTTTTCATACCAGCTTTTATAAGAAAATGATAGAGTCATCTTCTCTTCCTCATCACATCTCTCAGAAGATAACCAGAGGTGGTTGATATTTTCTACTTTTTTATTTGTTTATGTTTTCATTGCTTTCTATTTGTTTATGTTTTCATTGCTTCCTTCTTAGCCTCCACAGCAAGTGAGAATAAGAAAAGAAAATGGGAAAAGAAAACCTACCTCTGCACCACTTCAACAACAATATTGTCTTTGAGGGCACTTGGTTTTACCTGAATCAATTATGGGCTTCCCTCTATATCCAGTCATTGAAGTGAACAAACTTCTTCCTTTTATCAAGTCAGAGAAACTAAAATGTACAATTTGTGTTGAAATAACAGACACTCACTCATCATCGTCAGGTGTGATGACACTCCCAAGAATTTGAAGATTTCCCTGCTTGCCGTTGCAAGAGTAAGAGGACGGTTGGGGTAATTTAGGTTTATATTTACTGCAGGCATGCTCAGCTCGGTCATGTCCAACTCTTTGCAGCCCCATATAGACTGCAGCCCACCAGGTTTCTTGGTCTGCGGGATTTTCCAGACAAGAATACTGGAGTGGGTTGCCCTTCCTTTCTCCAAGGGATCTTCCTGACCCAGGGGTTGAACCCACATCTCCTGCATTGGCAGGCAGACTCTTTACCACTGAGCCATTACTGGGAATGTTGTATCTGGAAGGGAAAATGGGAATGAGTCTGAGTGCACCAGGAAGTGCGACGGTCAGGTGAGCCTGGGGCTGAGGACGCCTCGGTAGCATGTCTGGCTGTCCGGCTCTGCGTGCTGGGGCATTGATGACGTGTGACGTCATCCTGCTCCCTGACAAGACAGGACAGGCAGCAGTAAGCTCACGTGCTCCAGGGAACACGTGTTTTCGGGAGAAGACTTTCTGGGTCACATAAAGTTAAAATACTTAAGACCTGACAGCTGATGCAATGATTTTAGCAATTTTATTTAAAGGATTTCCATTGGTAAGTGAGGTTTTCAGATAGTCCAAGATTGATTTGATATTACATGCCCAAAAAAGCCATATGCGTAGTATCTGTTCCCAGCTAAACAGACCTCCATCTCCTGTGATGTCCAGGTTTCGGGTCAGTGTTCACTGTTGAGATCCCTGTGGCCCCTCAGATGTGGCAGCAGTCGTTGTGAAGAGCTCCCACGTGTCAGGGCCTGGGTGCAGGTCAGTCAGTCAGAGCTCACAGTAAAGAGCTTTGTGGAACACGGTTCCAACCAGCATTTTCCCCTTGTATACAGAAGCCACCGTACTTCCATGTAACACTTTACCATCCTCTGCATAAACCACTGTAACTTTGGGTTCTTCTGTTAAAATGTTCTGGATTTGCAGTACCTATCCAAAAATGACATTACATTAGTATTTTTTAAAGTCACTCGAGACATAACTTTAAATATGGGGTCATTTCTGCATAAGAAGAAACTTTTAGGTGAACCGCATGTTGTTCCAAAATGACTCGCTATAGATATCTATTTCCTCATTGGAAAAAATGACAGATTCTGATCAGATCATCTTTAACAAAGATAGACACCCTAACGACCTATAGAAGCAAGAACAGTGAGGCAGTAACATAGCCTGGGCGTGAGGCCATCAGGAGCACTGTGGTACCCTGCAGGATGGAGCTGGGGTTACTCAGTGAGAGTCAAGCATTGCCTTGCTGAAATTCAGGCCACTTGTTGTGTCTTTTCAGGTAAGCTTGGAATCTGGATGTTTACACTTAATTCTTGGTTTTTAAATATGGGAATGAAAACAAAACAAAAAAAAGAGTGTTGCCCAAAAAGAACATACCTCTCCTCCACACTCATTATTCCTCTGAACTTAAGGCCCCAGATCCTCATATGTAAGATCTTATGAGTTCAATTTCCTTCATTTAGTTGAGCAGAAGTGTGATTATATCATTAGCAGCCGTATAGTAGTATTCAAGTTGACTACACACGATAGCCAATAATTGACAATTTTGGCGATGGTAACTTCACACGAGTCACATACTATCACAAGCTCACTGTAAGGCAGGAGCCCAGGGTTGTGTCTGTGCTCTCCCACTTTCTGTTCCTCTCTCATCTGTAGAATGAGACGGGTGGGGCTGCGTGCTGTGCTGTGTCGCTTCAGTCCTGTCCGACTCTGTGCGACCTTATGGGCGGCAGCCCACGAGGCTCCTCTGTCCATGGGATTCTCCAGGCAAGAATACTGGAGTGGGTTGTCATGCCCCGCTCAGGTGGGACTATATTAACTCTAAATTCCCTTTCATCTTTAAGTTGGTATTCTTTTGAAGGCTTTAAGATAAAATACAATGACTTGAAGAACAGATACTGACATATAGAAACACTGAATATGACAGATTAGGAATGCTCGTTAAAAGGTCCATGCGCGCATTTAAAAGGACCACTCCAAAACAGCGGGCACCAAAAATAGATGTTTTAGGAAATTGCTGAAGCATTCACAGGCTGTAGTTACTTACTGGGAAATAGTTGGTGGTGCACCTTGGCTTTAGGAAGCCACTTTCTATTAAAACTAAGTCACTCTTCTGAGGGGCAGTGCATTAGATAATGGGTGCTTATTACTTTTTGCTATTCTTTACCAGATTCATCACTAGAAAGGAAGCATTTTTTTTCCAGAACAGCAAACTGAGTCCATGCTGTAGCAAATGGTTCAAGTTCACCAAATGAGCTTACAAGCGAGAACAAATTAGAATCTAACATTCTGCCCAGTTCTGAACAGTGAACACGCCAGAGCATACATTTTCGCAATCCTACTGAGCATACCACCCAGCAGTCCTAATAGCTAAGAACTAGCAAAAGGCACAAAGGATTGCCATTCACCGTAATCACAATTGTCTCGTAAACCCAGAGAAAAGGTTATGAAGGGCCAAAATGTAATTAGAAATACATATTTGGCTTTTGTTTCTTATCCAAGAGACACGGACTTTTAAAAAAATGTTTTTAGGGGTAATGAGACTGTCTGTTAAAGCTTTAAAAAGAATGCATGCTCAGTTGCTCAGTCATGTCCAACTCTGCAACCCCGTGGACTGTAGCCCACCAGGCTCCTCTGTCCATGGGATTATCCAGGCAAGAATACTGGGGTGGGTTGCCATTTCCTCCTCCAAGGGAGCCCCTTAAAAAGAATGCATAACAGTAAACTACGCCAAAAAGTATACCGAGGACTTGACGTAAATAGCCAGCATGATTAGTACAACCTGAAAACCGAGTAGAAAACCCTCGTTAAGTCACAGTAAACATTCAAATTCTCACGGCAAAGTGAGTTTCAAATTCTTGCTTGCACTGTCAAAATAATCCTCTGGAAAAAAGGCCATTGACATGAATAGAGTCTTCGGGTACTAAAACTAAGATAGAAGAGGTCTTTCAAGCTCAGATCTTTCCAGCAAGGATTTATGTTCCCATTTTGCCCAGAAGGTTTGGAGACAATGGTATCTCTGCTTTACAACTGCTCTATTACATGAACTGGCAAATGTACTGACACCCACGAAGAGGGTGTTGAATAGGAAGGCAGGTAACACACAAATGTGTAGCCCATAACAATGTGGTCTGTTATATTTTTTAAACCATTGTGAATGGCCAAGTCTGAGCAACTCACTACCGAAATAAAGATACGGAGCCCAATCCCGTGCTGGCTGTCCTAACCCAGCCCTCCAGGCTCACCCTCCACTCCGCTCAGCCTTTCCGGAGCCTGCTCGGGGCGCCCTGGCCCGCCACCTCCCAGCAGCAGAGAGGGATGGGCAGCCTGAGAAGGAGGCGGAGTGTCTACCCAGGCGCCCCCACCCCGTGTGGGGCCGT